ATTGTACACATTACAAACATACAAATCCAAAACACCTAATTCGTGCGACGACCACGTCTAATGCGCCTTGCCATTATATAAGCAGACGCACACCTCTCTACGTTATACTACCCCCCCCCACCCCCACAAATAACCATGTAATGACTAGGTGGGCACGCACCCTGTCTCAATGGTTTTATCGACTCCGCCAATGTGTTCCACTGGAAGTTCTCATGAATGAATGCGATATTTGCAACGTGGACGAGCATATATAGTCACTTGCATTAATTCGCCATTATTATCATAACAATTTAGTTGTACACGATTCTAGAAACACAATGTAAATCCATACATGAGTATAAGTACGGATTAAATTATATGCACTTCATTTGCATATTTGACCGCATGGTTCGTTGACTGTTGTTTCTATTAGTTTGAAGGTTATTAACCCCGTTTGATTATTAACATTGCACCATATGGTTTAAAACTAATACACTGATGTGTTTGCATACAATCCATTATAAGATGGATGAGAAGTGCATCAAAAAAACCATGGTCACAATATTATACTTGTGTTAGACACTAGCGTACTGTGAAAATACTGATATATGATTGTTATAAACTGCAGCGTGATTAAAACCATTACAGGTTTTCTTAATAAGAGGCATGTGTATTAAATAAAATGTGACTGTTATTATTTGGCCTATTTTGTAGCGTTTTAATACTAAGGAAGATTTACTAACAATGTAGAATGCTATGTGATCAATAATTCTAAAAGAAATAAGAAAAGTGTTCAGAACAAAATATTTGACTGACGAGATACAAAACAAACATAATATGATTGAAGACACATCACATCTGTTTTCGTTTATTAAAGTTCATGGTGCACTCTATCAAAATACGCAGGACAGACATGTCTATGTGGCACGTAAACTACATATACACTAATATAAATCAATTTAACCCGCTGAGATGTCCCTGGCCAGCGAAAGGGATGCCTGAATTAACAGTAGTTAATAGTATCGCCTTGTTTAAAAATGAATGTTGGCATTATTTATAAATTATTTACATGATTAACGGCTTGTGTGGGCTTATTTGCTCTCTTTCATAAACCGACACCATATTGATCTGATGTCGCGAACGTGGAAGGTCAATGACTTCCAATGTCATCCGGGGTGTTGGCAATTCATATACGGATATATATATATATATTGTAGTGTTTTCATAGCATTAAGTAAATGCAATTTGATTTACTAATGAGCATTTACAACTGGAACAATGTCCTAGTTTTTATCATCCTCAACAACTAGGAATTATGTATTTATGCTCAATGATATGTTTACTTCCTGTACAGTCATAGATGAACATGCTGACTATTAACAATAATTTAATTAGTTTCAGTTCAATTTATAATGACACATTTTTACAAAACGTGATTTAAATATTTACCGAGAGTGTTACATTGATGTATGAAGACACGAAACATAACTTATAACAGTTGTCTCAGGTCAAGGGATTCGTCCACAAAAGGATATTATTTATATGTGACATTAAGCTTTTAAAGTGAATGTATTTTCACAGTATGGGTTCGCTAGTGATATATGGGTATAAATAACCCTGTCATGTTGTAGCCACAGTTGAAGTTTCAATTCATTACGCTTCACTTGGCATACGAGTTACTTTAATTCCTTCTTCAGATTATTTTCAGTTTCAGTGGAACATTTTAATAATGCATTTTGAAATTGTGTAAAATATATTAATGAACTAATCATTTTTTATTATAAAATTAATTTTATCGATTTTGTGTTTGTGAAATTACATTGCTCACTGAATGATTTTTTGAAAGCATGTTACATCATCGTACGTGTGTCAATCGAAACATAGGCGACGTTTAGCAGTGCATTTTCTCGTATTTTACCCATTGATGTTACTTTTAATCAGACATTCACAAAATGTCCAGGGTAACGCCGCTTTTCAACGCAGTACAATGTCAAACATCTGCTTGTGAGTATTATTGTACTTGTTTGGGTTAATAAACTAATCGCAAAAATGATATACAAATGAATATGCACAGCAGGTAAAGGTTAATGTAAAAAGGCCTTGATCACTAATAACCTGCCTTTAGTACAGTGTGTAACATCTTCTACATACGAATAAAACAATACATATAACTATCTGGTCACCGTGTTAATGGAGTAGCGTTTGCGGTCTCTGTCGTTCTGTTTCATGTAGTTCGCAATTAAAAGTCGTTGTACCTCTGAAATGTAAACATGTCTAATCATAATTCACCCACGGTGGAAAACGTATCTAGCAATGATTGTTTAAATTATTTAAACAGATATTCATCTAAATGCAGAGAACATTGGAGAACGTTGCTATTGGTCGCATAGTATTTTATCTTGGAACATATTCTCTTCTAATTACCAAATCACCTATTTTTGCAATTACAGTGATATCAGTCTAATGTGAATACAGTGCAATGAAAATATTAAATTCATATAATATTTGCCCGCTCTCATGAATCCACTTAATCAAATATAAAAATATTTACCTGCAAGTTATAAATAAGCCAATTGCTTAGTGGATAAAAAAAATCACCATAGAACGCCTAAAACATTCAACAGGTACGTTTTGTGAATTTCATATGGATGTATAAATAAAAAAACAGAATAGAGATAATTTTATTTGTTGATGCAAAAACTGTGTTCGCCGCTAAAGAGATACAAGTTGTTCCTTGTACTCGCGCTCTGAAGACATGCTACCAATTCGTTTACCACATTTGCTCGGATAAATTACCCAGTTCAGACCCAGTTAGGAGTTCGCCAGGACAGCGGCAGCAGTCGCGGAATCTATAAGCGTGGAATGGAATGCTCCGGCGAGCGCGCTTTAGCGTACGGAGCAAACCGTTTTCACAAAATTATCTGATTGATTGATCTGTTAACTAACAATTTCTCTTCTTTTTAAATTACTTCCCAGCTATTCGCTTCCGAAAACAACATTGTATTCATATCCATGCTACGGAGCCTTGATTGTCAATAGTGGGTATATTACAGTGCGTGTTTTAATTGCGTGTTAATAGTAGCATTCGTCGCTAAGGGACTCATATTGGATATGACGTGGACCGACGACTGTAGTTCTTTGAACTGACTAATTATTAGTTCACCATGATAACGTGAATAATCGATGCAGCAATAGGTTCAACTCTAAGCAATATGTCTGATTGTTGTTGTAGTGTCGAAACACAGGACTTTTGTATAAATAAGACAACGCCGCAAAGTAATATGAACTAGACAAGAATATACAAATATACCGCCGGTACTCTACCTCCTAGTCAAATCTGTAGTTTGTCATTGACTCATTGGGCGTTGTATAAAAATAGGGGGATCAGTCATTTGATCGAGCAATGGCAATATGAGACACCATAACACATCCGCAATTACATCTGGGAAGGATAATGCTTGCCCGTATAAACCGTCGAACGTTTTACTTATTATCATATGTTACCATGGCGACACCTCAGGGGACCCCAGGCGCAGGGTTTTCTTAGATGTAAACTGACGTAGTCTACGTACAGGGTCTCTAATGCATTATATATTCTTTCTCTTCATGCATAATATCGATCTATTCTGTTGACTTGTGTTTGTCGAGCGGCTACGCGTGACATCTGACGCCAAATGTAGGAATGTAGCACGGGGTTGGTTCGGAGCCTGGCGTTGTTAAATTGTATTCAGGATATGTAATTGCCATTAACAAATTGCAAAATTATCAAAAATGATTTTTTTGAAAATGTATGCTATTTTTATATTAGTGAGCATGTGACTGTATTAGTGGATAATAGTTCATTGTGGATTTTTAAATAGTAATTATATATGTTGAATATGCACGTTTATATTTTTATTATTAGATCTTTTCATCCGACGAGAACCGGGTTTATTGATCACTAGCCTGAAGTACAATTGAAGAATATTGCCCATATATAAGAATATGCATATTAGATGCCACGTGGTCATTTGCATAAATCAACGCACTAGGTTATGTTGTCAGTAATCGAGAAGCAGGACACGTAGTGCGCGTATAGCGCTGGGATCATATTGACTATTCAACAAGTATAACATAATATATGACAATCACTCATTGCATACGTATGCATGTATTCGTTCGTTCAATCAACGCATGAGTAACTGTGCTTACAGATATTGACTATGTATTGTTATTTTTATTAGGATCGCATAAACTCTCACAATATAAAGCTCTTGTATCAAAATTACATATACATAACAAATTATATTGCAATAGATATTATATATAAATCCTCCCCTGGAAAATGCTGATAAATACGATCGATATAATTATACAAAAATATAAAAAAAATTTGACATACAAATAATATGAATTCTAATCAGAATTGTTTTGTTTTAGGTCCCAATTAACATCGCCATTACATGTAGACAATGGAGAAACAACTTAATGGTCGTTTGTGTTTGACTTGTCAGTACCACATGCAGTGCCGAACAACCCATGCTTAGTACTGATGAAGGTATTAGCGGACTCCCCGCGATTCGAAACCGAATATACAAAGAGCCAGTTATCGGTTACCTTGAAGATCGACACATATATCACCTGTTGCGTTCCACGTTGGATGCTCAAATTGCTGTAGGAAAATTACCACCTTTGTGAAATTTATCTCAAGGATGGTAAATCTAGCTAAGCTGAAACACCCACACATTCGGCGTTTCGTACTATATAAATATCTACCACGTGTTTCCCAGGCTACAGTATACGTGACAAGAGTATAACATATAATATTCACCGTTTTACGCATTAATTTCATCAACATGTCATGATAAAAGCCAAAAAAACACAGATAAAAAGGTCTGATAAATATATGTTCAATGTTAATGGGCTCGTAGCAATAAAGCGACTGCGAATATTATTACATAGAGCTCAGTCAGTGTTTCAAATGTACATTGTTCACTGTCTCAATGGTGATATATGCAACGAGACGGTGTGTTCCAAGAATTTTAGGATATGATGCAGGCTTCTTTCATTGGACTGCTTTTTCCCTTGGATTTGAGAATATCACAGGGAAGGCTCTGTTGTCTGGTTAGTATGGACGTCATCAGGTGTGTCGGTAATTTGGCTCTCTTTAGCACTTCTTTAAACGCACGGTCAATATTAGTCTTGTTCTTTGCCGATGTTTCAAAATGCTCAATGTTCCATTGATACGATAACAGTTCAACATCATCCTTCTCAATCTGACGGTCATTTTCGAGGTCCGCTTTGTTTCCCACGATAACGATTGCTGGATTTTGATCTTTCTTCTGTTCTAGTATCTGGTTTCGTAGTCTGACCACCTCATCAAAAGAATTTTTGTTGTTAATCCCGTACACCAGTATGAAAACATTCCCAGATGCAATGGAAAGTTTACGCATTGCCGGAAAAGAAAATGATCCAGACGTATCAAGAACTTCAAGATGAACTGTCCCTCCATTTACTTCAAACTCTTCGTGATACAGATCTTCGACAGTTTCTCTGTAACGCTCGTTGAATTTATCATACAGAAACTGAGAGATGAGAGATGATTTTCCGACTCCGGCTGCACCCATGACAACAAGACGCGTGCTTGCCTTCAACTTCAGTAGCTCCTCTGAATGTCTCTCTTTTAGTGATCTACTTCTAGGCATCTTAGTCTCTGGTAACTGACAAATGTTCAGGAAATTTTAGCGAGTGAGTGAACTATGCGCAGCGACCGTTTCTCACAATGTAACAACCTAAAAGTCAACTGACTCAGAAATGCATGTGCTCAGTACAGCGTGAAAAACACAACTGCGTGCGCGGCTGGTGAATAACCTCTAATATAGCTTTGCAACGTGACTCATCTGATTTGTATGTAAATTTGTGTCATCCAATTATGGAAAGATGTCTGAGCATGCGCAATGTGTACCATCAATTTTAACAATCTGCCTTTCGCCTTCTATGCTGAGTAGTCATTGTTGCTGTTTTTGTTTATATGTAACGGGAATACGGACAACTGGACTGGAAACTAAAAATGTATTGAAATTTCTCTGCCTTTTATTTAGGAAATTATAATAACCGATGTACTCGTTTTGACGTGTCGACCTTCCTGCGTTGCTGTTCTGAGTAAAAATCATTAATCGAAACGTCAATCGTTGGTATGGTAACCAAAGTACCTTGGGGGAAAAATATTGAATTACGAATTTTCTAATAAACACATTTCCTAATAAGCGTTACACTCCGATTATACGATAATATGGCATGGAACAATTGTTGCATCAATACTGTCATCCGCACGGTTGCAAAACTGCATAAGTATTAAGTTGTTGTTAACAGTACACAAGCAAGTTGTACATTTCCCCACTTACTCAGCTTAATGTAAATAAATAGTTTGACGTAGATAAATAGCACGTCGTAAACTGTACCAAAATCACGATGATTTAACTACAACTACACGCAAGTCTACACACTGGATTTTGTGATTGTGCGCCGGTCTGCGCTCTTGCACATGTACCCGTGTGCCTGAATGCATGGTTTCAACAAATGCAATGTTTATATAAGTTGTGCAGAACAGTTTGTCCATGTTTTTAAACGCAATAAAGTAATACTCGATTTGCTAAATCACAGCAATAACAACATGCAAGTCGAATGCATAGTAAGTGACCAATATAGCTTACAGTATGACCATCATTTTCTTCTTTCTTGGAAATAATAACCCACAAAAAAGGACAATACAAAACATGAGTTGAAGTGAACACAAGTCAGACAGATATAAATACATAAACTAGCCCTGAGGTCACAGGTTTGTACACGTGAGCTTTTGCACCAATGTTTTTCAGCAACCCTGGATTTATGCACGATTAGTACAAGATAGTATTCGATGTTTTGTATTGAATCATTTTTATCATATATCAATTATAATTATTGTTAAAAAATCAATGTTTAATGTAAATTTAATTCAGTTTATTGGATCTACCAATGTGGATGGTGTGCAAATATAACGCAGTATAATTATTGTTTGTTTCTTTTGTTCGAAATGGATAGAAAATAAAAGTGTTGCGTGGCAACTGTAATGTCCCAACTGAAATTGTGTGTGTCATATAAAATTATATTTTTTGCATTTAAGTAATACACAACTAACTGAAATCTCCCAGTCCATGTATCTGTGTCATGTAGTTCATTTCATGGAGAATGTACATCATGTATATTATTCTGTGCTGACAGTTAAAATATATATGACCATTATATAATCACACAGCCTTTCATGCGATGCACGGTGCGTTTCCGTACAGTATAAAAAAGCTTTGATTATGTACACCTAAAAAATACAGGTAAATTAAAGTTATATTTCGTAAAATTCGTACTCAGCTCAAGGGTTATGTCAATATACGAACAAATAACAAGGACGCATCCATATTGTGTTGAAGTGGTGAAAACAGAAAAAGTATTGTGCATAAGATTAAAATGATCGGAGATTCGTGGTCCAAATTACTGCCACAGCACATTGTTTGATTCTATTTACGAGTACAGATTACATTACATCCGTTTAATTATATGACTACACGAGGTATATATCTCAATAAGTCTTGACCGACCAAGTGTTTCCCGGTTCAAGGAATTCGTATATGAAGCTATATTTAGGAAGCGTTCGGATTAAATACGTGGCTGCCATAGTAACTAGCAAGGAATCGTTTCAATCAGTAGATGTAGCAGGCTGAACATTACAGAGAAATATGAAAGGTGGGACCGCTCCTGATAAATGTTCTAAATATAGAAGCGTTGCTCTCAATACTCGTATCTTAATTGCCTGGCAATGCGTGTTATGTCTTTCAACTACCGTGAAAGTGGCGTCACCTGAACTAATCGACACTTAACTATGATCAACTTGAAGGGTAGTACGTGCATGCATGTACAGCAACACATGCAATTCCCATTATTGTCGTGCTCACCGGATGTGATTATGTGATTAGCAATACGGCAGCTCACCTACGTTCCCGGCCTACGTTACAGCAGTATTTACATTGGGTTTTTTTTTTCACGGACACGTTCTAGCGTAACGATCGGATGACATAGAACATCTGATACCTGTTCCTTTGTACGAGGCTATTTTGTGGTCACCGTTAGTCACACACAATGCTAATTTCTAGGGCTGATCATGACGTCTTTGTTAGGACACACATTCTCACCACAGTCCCTATCTAGAGGGACTGTGTTCTCACGAATGTTAATAGTACTTGAATATAACTGCTGATAAACGAAATCTTAATTTAGGTACGATGCAACGTATCAAGTTAAATAGTAAAATACTTCAGATTGACGAGTCGGGTAAGATATATTCAAAATCGTGTTGCCTATGCAGACGTGGATCAAAACAGAACGTTTAAGTTGTTTACGCTGAATACGTGGGATATAGCGAGCGGGCAGACAAGGAAGCAACAGTGCACTGTACACACACACACATAGAGAGCGCATGCGCGGGGGAATCCGGTACACACGTACTAGTAATACGACGTTTATTGGGGTGTACACTTGACAGGATTACTCTCTGTAATAACAAGAAATAGACATCCTTGAACCACGCAAGGCCATTTTCAATTTATCAATAATTTGTGTATATTAATAACACAGCTAGGTCACGGAAAACATAATCGTTAGATCGGACCTAAAATAATTACTTTTCCCGATAAATCAGATGTTATTAGTATGTCAGTTATTTCGTCCGAAGTGTTATTTGTATATCTCAAACTGAATGTACATACAGGTAATACACAATGTCGTTTGTTTTTTATGTGCTCTGTGATGCAAATCTGTCCAACTGTTGCTATACCAACCATGTATCGCGAATTTACTCGGCAGGTGTTTTGCTGTCTTGCAAGATTCAATATGCCACTTAAGTGAGGAGACAGCAGATGCGATATGATGACATTGTTTGCTTCTACCTGCTTCGTTTGAAATCCCCATCCATTTTCAGAATTCATTTTTTCAAACTTGTTTAAAATACAGTGTCATCCCAAAGCTCCTACAAATGTGTATACGACCCATGTCTTGAATCCATCGAATGTCATTGGTTATTCAACGCTGAATACTTAATCTGATAAGTCTTCATACGTTTAAGATTGCATCTATAAATAACATATCAATTCGTAGATTATTTTTGTTGCTTTAACTCTCTACGTTAGACATTTTGCCATAACATTCTAATCCTAGCGACGCATGCTCATTTTGCAATTGGTTCATCCTGCTTCACTCGTGGCACTAAGCAATGTATTTTATCGCATTCAGATTTTCAGGGAATAAATTAGAGGATTTGATTTTTTTTTAAATCGTGTACGTTGCATGCTCACCATTATTATCTCTTTGCCAATTGACCGCTTACAAGGCAGAACGTGCACGACACAAATAGTCAAACCTAATATATATAGTATCTACACACGCAAAATTGGTTCTCAATTTTTTCAGGGTTGTATTTATTTAGCCTCCCGTTAAGTCCAGTGTTCGTGAATTGTTATAATCTAAAGCGCGTATTTGTCATATTTGTTATTTCATCTGATGCTGCAAGGCAATTGAATGATATAACTGTTTATATCAGGTATGTAAGATGGCAATCAAGATAACCGTAGCTCAAATTATACGTAGATCGCGATGATAGCATGCGCCAAACGATATAAGGCACGGTGATACCCAGACAGAATCATCCATTTTATTTAGGTGAATATTTCATTTTGTGCTGTGTGATTTAAACAAAGCAATGTGAAAAGCCGCAGCACTAGTTACAATACCGATTACGTAATAGAAAATTAATTGTTAAATTAAAAAAAAATAGACATGAAGATAAGTGTACGGCTTTGCAAACGCCTGTCAACTAAATGAACTAGTTTAGGATGCACTGGCTGTCTTCAAACATGCTCGTCTTATCACTATGTCTGGAAATATGTGCGGCAATATCAAATTTCTAATAGAAAAAGAAAAATTAATTTTTCAGAGCTATAGTAGTCAGTACTAATGTTAGTAAACAACGAAAATAAAACTAATAATTTTCGATATTGCGATATGCAAAGCATGGAAGTAAAGTTTGTTTTCTTACGTGTGAGTGAGTAAACTGAGAATGGGACAATTTAGACCGTCATACGCATATTTAGATTGACAAGACCATGTGATTGACAAGACCACGTGATTTCGAGGAGCATTTTATTTGTTACGTAAAGCGATACGTATTCACTTTTATGATGACAGTGGCGTATCGCATACTGATTTGTCATCGTATTTCATAATTAACAGAAGACAATGCCGTTAGAAGTTAATATTATTACCTTACAACAATTCTACATTGCCTATATCACACTATGTGGTGGAAATTCATAGTAGGAATGGGCATAAACTTAAAGTTACAGTTACTCATGATTACACATTTGTTATGTGAGAGTGTCCACATGCGTGTAGAAAATCATATTTCGAGTTAGAACAATATAACGTAAGGAAATGAATGAATAGTTTATGTCTTTGCTCGTAGTGAACTTGTGATTTTGTGTTTTCCTGTGATTAGTCACTAATACAGTCTGTACTCATAATACATGATTTGCATGTATTTAACAACGTGAATAAAATCATATCAGTGTACGTATGCTAATTTTACTCAGCTGAAAGTGAACTGGTCATTAATAACTGTCACAGCAGTTTATTGTTGATACTCAAGAGAGCAGCACACATCTTATCTAAATAGAATCTTGTTTGCGGGAAATGTAAGCATGGGTATCAAATTGTAATAAACCATTATAAG